TATTAGGTCTGTTCTAGAAGATATCGACAGCAAATTAATTTTAAAAGAGGAACAGAAACGCGATCACGGCTCATCTTCTTATTCTAGGCGCGCAACTGCACGCTTTGATTTTTGTTGACAACAACTATGCCTGGCTTTACATACGTCACGCACTCCGTTGCTCTTATTGGTTGTAGGTCTATCCAATTGAGTGCAGAGGCTTTTTTTTTCCTGGTCCGTTCAAAACATGCCCCATAATCACAGCTCTATGGAGCAGCATCAGACTCATATTCTGACTAGAATTGAGTAGGACTACGTCAGGCTACATTAGGGACACTATCTTCCTCACGTTAGCACTTTAGGAGGCAGTTATACACTAAAAGCGGGTTTGCCACCACACAGAAGGGAAGAGAGAGTTGCAGTTAATGTGCAAATCCGTGCATGTGAACAAGAATTAAGCACATTTCCTGCACATTTCCTACATATAGTATATGCCAGTTAGTGAAGAGGAAAGTCAGAATGAATTGAGATCGCAATTTTGCTAAAAAGAAAATCACAATTTTGATTCTTGGCAAAATCGCAGAGCCTTATTTAAGGCCAGAGCGTAGCCATCCTCTTAAAGCTACTTTGAGAACGATAAAACACCTTTTTACCAAAACTGGCTACTTGAACAATATGGTGTCTTCACTGTAATCAGTGGACTCCACAATCACCAGATCCCTGTCATACAGAGCACCTTTTGGTTTTTGGAGGAATGGACGATTTGCATAATTGATATAGAGCTAAGAAACCTTTGTGTTGCTGTCATTTCAATATTGAGGACATATTGTGGAATGTTTCTGAAACATTGCTGAAATATGCAACTAAGAATTAAGGGAGTTCTAATGGCAAAATGGGTCGAGCCTATTACACGCAAGGTGTATCAAATAAAGAGGCCAGTAGGTATATGTCTGAGTGCTTCCCAAAGTTTTCTTGGCCACTCCAATTGATTCATTAATTTACATTTTTTTTTGTCCTATGAAAACAAATTCCCAGTCTTCCTTCACTCTTGCCCCCCTCCCCCGTCTTTTCTTGCCCATACCCTTCCTACCATCCAGCAGAGGGTAGTTGGCAGCAGTATAAAGCATCAGCCTCTGACGACTCGTGCCTGACTCCCTGCCAACCTCTGCGCAACTAAAAAGAGGAATGGCAAGAGGGAGGAAAGGGGAAGAGTAAGAAGAAGAGAGGAATTTTGGAATGAAAAAAACAGAGCAGTCTGGAAATCGACCTAACATCACCAGGTTCTGGCATGCTGGGATGGTACCTCTCCTGTGTCTCTGTGTGAAGAGGCAGCAGCGATTCGACTTCAGTCGTATGGGTGAGAAATACAGGACCAAAGGTTTCAAAGGCTAAAAGATCAGACAAAAGAATCAGCACTTGTTGTTTGGTATACGCTGAGCACCAGACAGTTGTGCCCCTGCACAATAGTCACCTGAATTCAAACAGAAGAGCAGGGCTTCCAGTCCAACGCTTTGGTTCTGGTCCAACTGCCTACTGCAGCTAGGCTCAGGAGGATTTTCCTTCATTCCTTACATGGCTTAAAATGTGATCTGTCCTTTTCAGATATCTGCAAAAACAAAGGTGTGCTAAAGAACTTATGCCTGGATCCCTTTCAAAGTGGAAAAAAATTCTTTTCATGAGCCCTTCCCACATTTTCAGCCTGTTAACTTCTTTTGTAAGCTCAGGCATCCCCCTCCCTGCCTGTTTTTAAATAATTCCTTTTCTTGTCTTTTCTGGCATAGTAAGGCAGAGTAGTAAGGGTCTTTAGCTGTGTTTTTCTTGATGCATATGGGGTAATTATTGCAGAAAAGGACGTCGGTGCTCGTCTGATGTAAGGGAAGGTGTGCTGTACCAAGCACAATAACAGAAACTAACCTGGTACCTTGACCTCAGCCAGCTGCTCCATAGGAGAAAACCTAGTACAGCAGTCGGTGCACCAACAGTTGTGCAGCAGATTGCACACCGTGTGAAGTGAGGTAGTGTGAGAAAAAGTGAAGATGGAGGGGAGCTTAAGAGAGAGGAAGTGATGTCAACAGGTTCTTGGCTAACTTATCATTTCTTTATTGCTTGTTTTTTTTATAAAACGCCCGAAGGTTTGGCTTTCTAAAAGCCAGGGGAGTCTTTCACTTCCTTACTGTATCTCGAATCTGTTTCTTCTAAATGGCGATTTATTCCTCTTATTGTTTTGGCAGACAGGTACCTCCTCCTCCGACTCTTTTTTTCTTCTTCTCCTACTCTTTTATTTCACACTTAACTCCCTCTCACTCTCTCATTTTACCTTTCAAAGTCATTTGGCAACTCCAGGGGGCAAGAGCTTGGAGACGTTGAGAATAGTAGAAGAAGATAGAGATTTCTTCTGTTCTTCCTCTGTTTTAAGCCATCTAACGAGACTTAGAGGATTTAACATGTCCGTCACATGGAAATGCTTTGATTCTGCAGCCGACTGTGCCTGTGATCGTGACCTGGCAGCGCCAAACAACCTGCTTCTAAAAAAAAAAAAAAAAAGAACTGCTGCTCAATAGGAGGCCACGAAGCTGCTGCCTGGGGCCATCCAGGCCTCCGTGACATTTTAGTCCTTTATGTGCACAGGAAACGAAACTATTTCATAAAATATAAAAAAAATACCTCAATACAACAAAACTGTATTATCTGCTCAAGCCTTGCGGAATCCCCTTGTTTCCCTTTTTCTTTACAAGACCTTATCTTTAGAGTCCCAGCATGGGAAAACATTTTCTTTTCAGTGCTTCTATACAGTTCGTCTTTATCATAATCTCCTTTAAGTCTGAAGGAAACCACAGGGAGCTAATGGTCTTTGGCCTGTTCTTGCAGTAAAGGATCATCCCAGCCCTATAGGAAATGGACTATTCTGTCCATATCAGATTTGTGATTGTTAGTGTTCAGGTCAGTGTCACGCATAACCCAACTTAATCGGACAGGAAGCGATCACCTCATGGAACTTGGAGTAAGCATCCATTACCGATACATAGCTAAGCTCTTAGTGTACGCTGTGGCCTGTTTATCTGGAGACAACTATTAGTGGTTGCAGTACAAACCAGTCTTGCTTAGTGGAGATTTGCATGCTACAGTAAGTCACCTCAGTCTTCTTAAACCTTAATCCTCCTGACATATCTGAGGACTACACATCCACACACACACGCTTGCTCTTTAGCATTCTAATTTCAGGCTGCACTGTTGGCCCTGGAGTGCAATCTTTCTGCTCTTTGTTTTGTTTCACTTGTTGGCTGTTTCCACCCTGACAGTGGTGAAACTGAGACACCATTATGCGTGTCTTCTGTCCATTAGATTACAGCTTCATAATAATGCCTTCCAAAGGTAATTATCCAAATGAACTTTGACTATGCCTTGATTGAAGCTATTCCATTGCTCGGCCTTGATCTTTGGGGTCATTGTCCTGCTTAAAGATGAAAGCCTCAAATATTTTGTCGTTTCTAACAGGCTCTCCAGGATTGTGCTATATTTAGCTTTTAACCTCCTCCCAAGAGCTCAGATTAACCATCCTGTCCTTGCTTCTGTGTTTATTTGCTCCCCATGTCGTATTTCATATGTAGGCCTACAAGTCTGTTTTAGTCTCATCACAGCACAAGTTTTTTTAATCCTCTACATGGATTGTGGGAAACGGCAGAGGAGAATTATTTCTGTAAAGAAATTAGCAATTTATTATCAAATAATGGTTGATTAGATTAAAAATGGTTTCATCTGATTATGTGATCATGACCTCTTAGACCCGGGTTCTGCAACCGTCACAATCCAAAGGGCTGTTTTTGACTTAATTCCAGTTGATAAAACTATTTTAGAGTGGCAAACATTCAGCTAACCTTTTTTTAGCAAGAATAACATGTTAAAAAAGTAGCTACCACAGGAGATTTCTCCTTTTTAAATAAGCACTGTTCTATTTCAGATTTTAGATTTTGGAGTGAGGGAAAAAAAACTTGCAGAGAGAATAAAAAACATTTAATAGGTTGACAATAATTTTTAAAAAATTATACAAATACAACACACTTCCCTCTTTAAAATATTAAAAAAGTAATATTTCTGTTATAATTCATGGTTTTTACCAAAATTATGATTTTAACCTTTCTGTTCATGGTTGATTATATTTTGTTTCTATATTCAATTCTATTGGTCTATTTTTTTATTAATGTATATGTATATTTATAAATTTGATGGTTACAAAACCAAATATTATTATTTTTTATATATATTTCAGTTGAATTATGATGTGCTATTTTTTTGTATCAGTATCTAATTTAAATGTGTTATTAAAGGACTTTCTTGATACAAACAAAAAAAATAATTTTTTAAGAAAATTGCCACTTATCTATTAATTGTTATTCATTCAGTGATCTCAAACAACTTTAGATAAACTCAATATTTAATAGTTAAACTAGATTTCATTTAGGCAGTCTCAGAATCAAAAGGGGCTCAGAGCAAAGGGATCCACATATTCCAGATGTTATTTATTACACAAATCCAAACTGAACATGATTTTCTTTCCAGCTCAACAATTTTGCAAAACCAATCTTATGAATCTGTTTGTGGTTGTTATGCAAAAAATAAAATAAAATCAACCTTAAGGAGTATGAATACTTTCGTGCTGTGCTTCATCGTTAAGCTGTTGTTAGGAGTTTCAATGGGAACAACCAGCTGTGTCGTCTTTGACTGGGCGCTTCAGCCATCTACAGAGACTAAAGACAACCACTTTAATATAAGAAGTTAAAGATACCAAAGAGAGGACGGCAGGGAGAATCAGGGAGGAGCTCAATGGTGAGTTTCTTCAATGTGATCCTGCACAGAAGCCTCTGATTCCAATCCTATGGCTTGGGTTAGGATGTGACTAAATGAGAGCCTGTGAGGCCGACTCCAAGCTGCATTCAAAACTAATTTACTTGCATGATGAAACGTATTGTGTTTTCCTTATTATTGTGATCTTATACCATATTTTCCACTGTCTTGCCTTACAGATAAGCATGCAGTTAATGGGAATCCCACTGTGGAGCCTTTTCCAGAAGGCATGGAAACCATCATGTTTGGTGAGGGGGCACAATCACCAGCATTTAAAATCTGAAACTTCCCTGCAAGAAGATCTGTTGCCGCATTAATAAGATCTCTGTTTGACACAATGCGAAAGACTTAACTATGCATGCATCTCTTTGCAGGAATGGGTTGTTTCTGGGGAGCTGAGAAACTGTTCTGGCGGCTTCCAGGAGTCTTCTCCACCCAGGTGGGCTTCGCCGGGGGCTTTACACCCAACCCGACCTACAATGAAGTCTGCACAGGTATTCTATTTTGCACATTTTTCACTTACGATTACCTCCCACTCTGCGATTCCTGTTAACAGATCGTTCTACCTTCCTGCGAGGAAGGGAAACAGGTTGGCAGAACATTTGACGCTGCGAACGTCAAGGTTAAAGACAATTTAAAGAAAAAGGAAACGGATACAGAGGAAGATTGTTTTAAATAAAGCCCCCTCATCGCAGTTCTTGCCTTCATCTGCAGTCAACTACTCAAAATGCACTGCTCCAGATGGGCTGTACCCCCCCAGCATCCCCACCCCCACATGACCTACTTGTGAGGATTTTGCTCTCTGCTGTGCTGTATTGCGGTGTTTTTTTTAGTAACGGAGGTTTCTGTGTTGAAGGCGCCATACGCAGGCTTCTTTCCCAGAGAATGTGATTTGCAGAAACAGATTACGTTTTTTTAAATGTATTGTTAAAGATGTCCTACTTTGTTATCCCAAAAATCAAATAGATTTATGTAGGAAGTGGACGTGTACCGCAGATGAAGACGTTCGACTCATGTGATGCTCAAGCTTTTAGTGTGGGACATTTTTTGGGGGGGGTCTGCTCTGCAGACAGGCATGGAATCAAGGTGCAGAAACAACATGGGGTGCATGAAGACCAGTAGCAGAACCCTGTTGCCGCTTTAACCAGCTTTTCAAAAACAAGATGGTCATCTGTGGAGAGACGTGGAGATGGATGAGTAAAAACCAGCAGCTAAGTGATACAGCAGGTGAAGGAATAAACAAACAAAACTTTCTAAGGGAGGAAGAAGGGAGAAAAAAGTGTTGGTCCTGTCCATCGGCTGAGCGTGCAGGTGTCGCTCCAGTGGCCATGACGGAGCAGAACACTGCGACTGCATGCGGCCGAGGAGCTGTCAGAGCAGCCATGGTAGGACAGACAGAAAGAGAGGGCTGATGGAACTGTCAGAATAGATGGGGAAGAAGAGGAAGGACAAGGGGATAGATGGATGGTCTGACCGACAGGAGCTGGGGAGGCTGAGGTGCAGTCAGAGAGGGAGGGGCTGTTATTATAAATTAGAATAATTTACCTAATTTACAAGACTAGCACAGTCTAATGCACCAAATATTTGTAATACAGAAAGCAAAACTGTGGCAGGAAAAAAAAGGATTTTACCAAGAACCTGAGTGACATGATAGAGCCAACGATAAGGCTGTTTTTAGTATATTTAAACTGCACAGGAAGTATCGTCACATGACCAGAGCTGAACTCTGCACTGAGTTCAAAGTTCCTTCTCTTAACTGTAGTGTTTTATATCATCTAGGTTTTTAACTGTTTTTTGAAAATCATTGAGCAGTTAAACATGTTGGAGGCACCGTAGACTATTTTACATCTGCAGCTGCGAAGACAATTCACTGCCTGATAGAAAAGGAACCTCTGTGTTAATTACACAGAAACTGGTTGTATAAAAGAAGTTGCACAAATTATGCATAAAGATGCATTTAAATTCCCAGTAAAAGAACAGCATGAGATTAAACATAATGAATGATCAGAAAAGGTTTATGGTATTAACATTTTTTAATATTCAGGAAAATATTTTTCGACCTTTCTTAGCTTAGTAACTGAACAGAGAAAATAAATAAATAAATCAGAATAAAACTTTTTTATCAGCATTATGTGAATGTTTTTAATCTTTTTGTTGCAGAACAGTAGATAAACTAAGGACAAAATGAATTTCACAAAAAGAAAGAGTAAAGGCAGAAGAGAAACTTGGGACATCAGCTGAAATTGTTTGCACTGTTTTTAAATGAACAGACTAAATAAATAATCTGGTTGATCTTTATATGGAAGTAATTTAAGTAAGCTAACAGTAACTTTTGCTCCTCTTAAATCTATATATTTTTTCATAAACTGCAGCTTTATAAGCGACATGCGTGAGCAGCCGAAGAGGCAGACCCAGGAGCTGTGGATGAGCAACTAAAAAAACAAACAGAAAAACTTCTGTACACTTTTGACATGTTAAAACTACTAAATACATTTGAGGTTGAATATTTTTCTGTCAGCACATTTTTCCCTCTGCTTATTTGCATAGCTGCCTGCCTGACAATTTCCCAGTTAATCTTTGCAGAGTTAATTTAACTTGATCTCTTTTTAACCACATTTTGATTAGGTGAATATTTACATTAATTAAAATGTTCACATTAAAACTCCTAAATAACACATAGAGTTAAGGAATGTATCAGTTATTAAGAAGTTTCTGACTTTGATATTAAATAAACTGTGATAGAAGCTTTTTTTGTTTTTGGAGCCGCCAGTTGACTGAATTAAGACATATTTTAGGTGTGAAAGCATGAACCAGTTTACATATATAAGCATATATAAGCAAACTCCTTTTCTGTATGATTCCATAGTGACAACTCACCGGCGCCATTTAAACCATTTTAAACGACAAACAAATCCCATTTATTGCAAAAATATAGATATAGAAGCACAGATTCATATTAAATTAAACAAATTCCTTTTAAATAAATATATTCCTATTCAATCAATGTTCAAACCTAATTCAATAATGTTCAGTTTATCACAGCGAGTGTTAAAAAATCTTTCTAGGAAAACCAAGGCAGTGCTGTTGAGTCACTGACTGATACGCTCACATGAGCATGAGACAGGAGAGGATGGCTGATTGCATATGAAGCATTTCATTCTTTTAGTTTACACTTTGTAGGGGTGGGTCATAAACATAAGCAATTGCAACTTCTTCAACAGCCCCCCACCCCCCCCACACACACTTTAGAGAGCTACTCTATGCCAGAATATATGAACTGGCCACTTAATCAGAATATGAAAAAGATGTAAAAGTTCTACACCTTCCTTAAAAAATAGAACAGTTTCAACAAAGTCGATTTTACAGGTTTTAATTTGTGTCCAGAGGTGTGTTGCATATTTTTGGCGGAAGAGAGCAGTTAAGGTGAAAAGAGAAGAGGGTGAACAGGCTGATTTGTTGATTTGTTAACGCGTTGAATGGCCCTTTAACAGAACACTGCAGCTCTGGCAGCTTTAGTGGTCCTGATCCCTGTCGCTTCCCAGCCTTTCACCCCCCTTCATGTTCGACAAGCTTCGAGAGTGTCGCCACACACTCACCTTTTCCTCAAAAGATCTTGACAGCAGCTCTTTCACCAAATAAAATTTTTTACTTTCGGATGATGTCTCTGCAGCTATACAGTCTGTTATCAGCTCACTCCTGTGCAGTTTGTTGCTTTATTTCATGCAAACATGCTGCTATTTCGGTGCAAAAATGCACTAACGCTTCCAATAAATTTAAATTGTTTGCAGGCATCTGTTTTACCTTTTTTTTGACGATTACATGTAGATTGTCTTCTTAATTTCTTTCATTTTCATGTCATTGATTTTTTTTCCTGCGGGGTTGTTAGCAAATGGAAGATAAACAATGCAGAAATTGGTTTTGTATGTAGGTTTAACAATCTCCTAGGAACTGCACTGTATCATTCTGCATTGCGATAGAATTTTATTATCTACTCTGGTCTGAACAATAGTAGAAGATTTGAACTGATGCTTCGTATACTAATCAAATATGTTTATGTCAAGAAATGTAAAAATACCCATTCAGCCGTAAATATGCACAGATTCACGTAGAAAACATATGATACCTAAAGCATCCCTCAGTTAGAAAACGCCTGCAGGCAGCTCGCTGAAGCTTCAGTATCCTGGCAGCTGCAAACAGGAATGAGTATCTGGGAGCTTTTGGCAACCTCCACCATAAGCTCCATCTTTTACTTTTCCTTCTTGTTCTCTCTCTCTATATACCTCCCTCTGTTTCTCCTCTGGTGCCATGAGAAATAACACAGCTCATAGTAGATTCAGCCTGAATGTTTTCTACCTGTGGTGCATGCACTCACTGACCCATACACCCTGCATCTTCCTAGTCTCTGCTTTCTGGTTTTAAACCTGAACGTTTCTTAGATTTCTAGCATTTATCAAATACATTCAATGTTTGAAGATAAGAGAACAGTGCAGTTTGAGTTGTGTTTGAGATTAGTACCACTTTATTTTTTTTAGCTATTCATATTACCAATTCCCTTTCAGGTCTGACAGGCCACACTGAGGTGGTGAGGGTGGTGTTCTCCCCTCAAGACATCAGCCTTGGGGAGCTCCTCAGACAGTTTTGGGAGAACCACGATCCTACACAAGGTAGGAGCACACAGGCAAACAAACCCCAGTCACCCTCAAAAAGGACTCATCCCAAGGGGGCACAAAGTGTATTAGAGCGGAAGGATGATGCCCAGGCATGCGCTCGTGCATGTTGCGGTGGGGGGGAAGGTCTCATGGGTGTAAGTCAATGCCAGACAGTGTTAATGTGTCTGAGACCCAGCCATCCATGGTGGTTCATGCCACTGTGGTGCACGTTAAAGCAAAACATTTTAAAGTATTTCTTAGCATTTACACAGCCTGCACTTTATTTAAAAAAAAGCTAGTTAATAAATTATACTAAGATGTCAAAGGGATCAGTCAAATCAAACAGAAAAATCTCTTAGATTTGTCTGTTTGTCCCAGGAGGCAAACTGATGTAAAAAAAACTTCACCTTTTTAGGCATATTTTCCCTTATTTCAGTGTTTGACTCATGATACATATTGCTGCATTATTATGAAGCCTGCCACATATTTGCCACCCACACGTGCACAGCATACCCATCCCCCACTAAAAGCCATCTCTCCATCTCTTCGACTCTGGTGCTCTCTTGTTTTCTGTGCTCACTGAAGGAGGTGATGTAAGAACATTAATGCACCAGGAGGACACATGGAGGGTGTATACATGCGTGCATGTGTGAGATGGCAGGAACGAGCAAAGTGGCACTCTGCTCACTCATATTGAATGTAGGGAGGGGTGGGACAAGGAGAGACGGATCAAAGATTCATAGGACCGACCTTCAGCCTTAAGAGAAGCACGCGCCTCATTCGGTGACGCGGATCCGATCCTGTCATGAAACGCCTTGGAATCATGTCTCTTAAACCTTTTAGCACATTTTATCATGTTGCAACCTCAAAATTCAATTTATTTCTTCAAGCTCTCATGAGAAAACACCACAAAGCAGTTCATGACTGTAAAACTCAGCTACAATGATGCGTGGATTTCAAGATGTATATATTTATAATGTTATCTGTGCAGATTCAGAGGATTTATTTTAGAGAACATTACTGAAAAGCAGCTTTACAAGTCAGAGATGCATCCAGTGGTAAGTCAGGAGGAGCAAGAGAGCCCAGGCGAAGAATGTGTCAGCAGGAGAACTCTAATTCTTGGCAAGAACAAAGCTGTTGTTTGAAAAATCCATAGAGTTTTCCACAAGCCATGTTGGGACTACAGCAAACACATAAAAGAAGGTACATAGGTCAGGTGAGACCAGTAATGCAAAGGAAATTCTGCTGGCAGCTTCAAAAGAAGATCTTATTTATTTTTGTTTTAATTCAGAATTAAAATTAAGTCATTTCATAACCCTTACACTTGCTCTGATTTTACAATTTGAGATTGACGACATTGCTGTGGATCTGGTTGGAGGGAGATTTAACACATCGCTCTGTCTATTTTTCATCTACCGTATTTTCACGACCATAAGGCGCACCGTACTAAAAGGCGCAGTCTCAGTTATGTGTCCCATTTCTGTATTTAACACACACATAAGGCGCACCGGACTATAGGGCGCGTTTTTTATATACAGGTACATGTCCTCTACTACCTTTAAATACCTCTACTGCGTATTTAAAAATACAGCGGGGGCAAAACTGAGTATGACTGTGCTTTATTCATGTATTTATTAAAAAGTATTAATCAAACCTGGCAGCTGGCCGTGAGACAGACACATCGCAGATGACACAGCGCTGTGATCACTCCTAAATTAACTTAAAATCCTGAAACCTTCCGACGGAATATGTTCGCTTTTATTACCGGTATCCTGGTGCCTGCAGTTTAAATTATTTAGATGAAAAACACCTGCCAGCAGCCGCGGTGAACCTGGAGGCTGCCCAGCCTAGAGGCTGCTGTTGAAGGGATTTCTACTGTCGGCGTACCGCTGGTATGTGGGGGTCTGAGCGCCTCCGACAGAAATAGATAATCTGGATGAACTGACTGCAATTATTAAGTTTTCAGGTGGCCTTTCTCACTTAAAAATATATTAAAACTACTTTATTCCCACTGATCACAGCAAATATAGCTGCAAGATTTAGATTATTTAGATGAAAAAACACCTGCCAGCCACCGCGGTGAAGAAGAGGAGACCCGCCCAGAGGCTGCTGTTGAATTAAGTTTTCAGGTAGAAAAATAGAGCGGGAGCAAAACTGAGTATGATTGTGCTTTATTCATGTATTTATTACAAAGTATTAATCAAACCCATCAAAGTCATTATCCTCTGTTTCTGAATTAAACAGCTGCGCTAAATCAGACATGCCAGTTTCCCCTTCTTCGCTGTCAGAGTCACTTTCCGTGCAGCGCAGCTCCTCAGAAGTAATGCCGGCTTTTGCAAAAGCTTGAACAGCAGAGCCAGCAGACACGTTAGTCCAAGCATCTGCAATCCATCTGCAAACGGTGGCGTAACTTGCCCGGCGCTGCCTTCCACTTATCCTGAAACTGTGGTCTCCGTCTGTCATCCATCGCTCCCACGCCGCTCGCAGCCTTACTTTGAACGGCCGCTTCACACCGATGTCGAGCGGTTGAAGTTCCTTTGTCAGACCCCCCGGGATAACGGCGAGCACAGCGTTCATTCGATTCACCATGTTTTTCTCATCAGCTGTGAGATGGGCACTTATGGAGTCACAGATTAACTGCGATGGTGATGCGTGGAAAAAAACACCTGTTCTCCTCACATACACCTGCCTCTGCCACGCTTTCATCATCTCATCCATCCAGCCTTTTTCATTTAATATCATATGTCATCAGAGCGCTGTGTCTGTCTCGCTGTCAGCTCACAGATCAGCTTCTCTGATTGGTTGATGCGGCGCGTCCAGCAGCAAAACTTCAATTTTTCCATCTCGAGCAGCAGCAGCGCGTTGGCGGTGCATCAGATGCTTAAACGCTCCCGACGTGCTGCACCTGCTGCTGCGAGACCTTTTGCTGCACCTATACACGCGTCAACCATTGACTTTGCATGTAAACTCGCTGCTTCTGCTGCACCTGCTGGGTCTGGTTCACACCAATGTCGAGCGCTTGAACAGCGAGCACAGCGTTAATTTGTTTCCCCATGTTTTTCACATCAGCTGTGAGATGGGCACGCATGGAGTTACATATTAACAGCGATGGTGATGAGTGGAAAAAAAAACACCTGGTCTCCTTACATTCAGCCACTCTTTCATCATCTCCTCAATGAGGTGGTCTCAAAAGTCGCAGTTGCAAAACACATAGGGCGCACCGCACCAAAGGGCGCACCGCACATTTTGAGGGAAAAAAAAGACGTTTAAGTGCACCTTAGTCGTGAAAATACGGTAATTGTCCTTTTTTTTTTACAGTTTATTTTTCCTTTTGTGGTAAATTCGGAGCACCATTTTCATCCAGCCTTGGTTCCCGCTGCCAAGGAATTAACAGCGAAACGTCACAGTTAAAACGTGCCTCTTTGTGCCGCAGCAGTAATGTCCGATGGAGTCTATTACAGGCTGTCTGCACATCACTGACATATATGTTGCTCTTAGCTGACTTACCGCCGTCTTGTTTTGTTTCAGTTATTGCAGGAATACAGGGCATAGAATACAAGAGATCAGTGTTGGTTGTCACAGTTTAAACTGAAAAGATTCAAAACTAGATCAGAGGTCACTGATTTTTAACATTTCAGTCCAAACATTCTGTTACAGTTCCCTGTAAAAACCAGCACTGATCTCAACTCTACCACCTGTTTAGATCAAAGCGTAATTTTGTGTTAAAATGGCCCTGTCAAATTCCAGATTTGAATCAAACTGAAAATCTGTGGCAAACCTGATGTTTACAGTCGTTCTGCATCCGGTTAAAATGAGCCAGAGCATTTCTGTATAAATGTTTGGTCTCAGGAGAGAGAAGTTAGTAGAAACATACTCAAACCGCTCAGAGGGAGTTAAATAAAATGCTCGCCTCACCTTTTAGGTGTTTTATTTGTACAGAAACTATAAAACCCTCAATCTTTTTCCTTCAACTTAGTCTCTCAAACCTCATTGTGGTTCAATTATGAGAGAAGTTCATGTGATCTGATATCTTCTAGGTTCTACAGAAATAAATAGAAATAATCATTTGGGTGTTTTTTGCATCATCACATTTAAGTTAACCAGTTGTTAAGTATGTTTATGACGAAAGGCAGGGGAAGATGTAAAGTTTTTTTTTCCATTTATCTGAGACCCACATTCTCCTGATTAGAAGAGATTAGTCCCCTGTTCCCAGTAGCCGAGGGAAGAGACACGTCTTTTCACAGGCAAAGTCGCAGACAGAGTTGAGCTGACATGCCACGGGGCAGAGGCAGCGGGGCCAAAGTAAGCAGACATTTCACACATCACACTGCCCTGCCTTATATCATGTTTTATTAATAGCAGGCAGCTAATTCTGTTTTGTTGGTCACAGTTAAAACCAGCCGACATATTGCAAAATCACCACAGACTCCGAAAAGTACTAATATTTTTTCTAGAAGCTCAGCTCCTCATGCGTGACTTAAATAGGAATCCGTGCCGTTCCTCTGCTCTCAGATCCAGGGGTTCACGTGCAGTAGAAATTCTTCTGATTTGACAAATGTAGCGTGGAGTGGTGGGAAGCGGCCCTCTGGCTGTGCCTTCATGCATGCTTAAGCTCCAATTTATTCTGTCCACCTTAGAGCCGGGCTTAAAAGAGAATGAAGAAATTAAAGAAGTTTCCGCTTTGACCTGAGAAGATTCAGTTGAGATGGTATGTGGGGAAAAGCTGAAGAGCATCAGGAATTCTGTTTTCTCCTGATGTGCATCAACACGGAGGCCAAGCTTATTTAATAATCAGTGTTGGCATGCGATTGAAACTGTGCATAGGTACTTATTTAGATGCATGTTATATGTGTAGCTGCAAATGTGTGCATGCATGTGCACGTGGGCGTGGGTATATGTGTTTTGATATCTGTGCCTCTGCTGCTTTGCCTTAGTTCAAAAGGGTTTAGTCCTGACAACGTGATGTCGGTCTGCGTCAGCTCCACCAATCCCGGCCTGGATAGCAACATTAGCAA